AAAAAAAAAAAAAAAAAAAAAAGAAGTTGGCATTGTTTGATGAAAGGGAGACCTCTGGCCTCCTGGGGTCCTGATTACATAGAGACGGTTTCTCTAGAAGAGTCAGCCTCCCTGCTGCCCACCCTCTGTCCCTACTGGCTATCAGGGAGGGGACCTTCTCCAGGCAGCGGTGTCCCTCTCCCGCTTCGGGACGGTGCACCGGAGGGCCCCCCCGACGGGAGGTCAGCTGCTGTTTACCTGACACATCCAGGTGCTCCAGGTTGGGGCACAGGGACACCACGTCGAAGACCGCCTCGTTGGAGATGTTGTAACAGCCCGAGACCTCCAGGCGCCGCAGTTCCGGGCAGCACTGGGCGATCGTGTAAAGCCCTCGGTCCGTGAGCCGCCTGCAGCCACTGACAGTTACGGTTTCCAGCATGAGACAGACGTTGGGTGTGTCCTGGCAGAGTCTGCGGGTCAGCACCTTGAGGGCGCGGTCCACGTTGATGGTCTCGCCCGTCAGGCGGATAGTCCTCCAGAGCCGCGGGTCCCAGGCCAGGTTGTACCAGCGGCGGCACACGCGCGCGCAGCGGCACAGCTGGTTGGTGGGCAGGAAGGAGAAGATCTGCACCATGGACTGGTCCGGGAGGCGCTCGATGCTGGCCTGCTCCTTCTGGGGTCGGGAGGCGAGCCGGATGAGCGGGTGGGTGAGGCGGGTCGGGGGCGGGGAGTGGACCATGGCCACCGTCTCCCCTGTGATGGACGACGAGGAGGTGGACGAGCCCCTTCCATTCTGAAATCCGGGCAGGGTCGGTGGACATATCAGGGCCGGGCTGGGCGTGCTCAGGGTGCGCATGCTCAGGTCGGAGTCTGGCAAAGGACAGAGAGCAAAGGGTTAAGGGTGGCGGCCGCGGAGCCCCGGGAAGGAGGCCGACGCCGCCGTCACGCGCATTCCACCGGTAACCCTTCCTGGGCATCCATCCCCCCGGCTGCATCCATCACCGGAAGCAGCAGCGCATGCACGTTTCACCCGTTCCAGACAAAGGCTAATCCTCCATCATCTCCAGGAGGGGCGGGCAACCTTTTCTGGGAAGGACCAGGTATGGGCACTGCAGGCCACACGGGAGCTGTCTCTGCTGCCATCAGTCAGCCGCGCCACCGTGGTGCCAAGGCCGCCACACACCGTCCGTAAACAAACGGCGGTGGCCGCTTCAATGACACTTGTTCTATCGAAACAGACCAGCCGGGCTCGTCCCGAGGGCCACGGCTCGCTGACTTCTGATCTACGTTCCTGGCGGTTATCTCAAGGGCACACCTTCAAAGGTTCATTATTTCTATTCTGGGAAGAAACCTCACATATTATGAACACAAACTCTTTTCCTTTTTCTAATCACATTTTGGTCAGGCGGATAATGATGTTCCGTTTACAGACGCGGGAACGAGTTTCCGAAGAGAAAGAGATACAGAGAACACTGCTGTCTTCGCTCTGGCCCGTCCCCCAGTGTCCAGGCCCCCATCTTTTGATAATGGCACCCCAAACTCTGCCAGGGGTCTGAGGATCCACCCACTTCCTCCATTAGACCGGCCATTTCAGATGGTATTTCCAGGCCTTGACTACCTGTGGCAATATATGTTTTTCCTTATTAACAACTGTCTTCCGCATTCCAATGATGTGATTCGTATTGCTCCCTGACACCAGAAAAGATCACTTAATGAGGATAAAAGTGGTTTTTAAGCTTTTGAGGGATGAAGAGTTCTTTAGAATACCAATTCAAGAAGGCTGCTCACTTCATATCCCCACCTTGATAGCTATATCTATATGAAATAATTTAGTTTCTATATAAATATATTTATTTATCATACAGTTTACATAGATAGCTGGACAGATGTATTTAGGATGACATTTATTCTGTCTCTCTAATGTCTATATATTTCACACACGCACGCGCGATCACACACACACACACACACACACACACACACACACACACACGCAGAGTATATTCATCCCCAAAGCATGAGTTTCTTATTCTGTAGAATAAATGATATGGGCTAGATGAATTCTAAGGTATTTCTAGCTCTAATTCCAGTTCCAAAGACTTAAACAAAAATTCTGTTCTTGTGTGCTTTTCCACATTTCATACTTGGGAATTTTCAAACACTTGTTTTTTTTTCAAAGAACTTCCAATAATAACAGAGGACACAGGAACTTCTGACACGGGAATCTCCACTGAGGGTCTGTCTGCAGTTTTCCTACTGGTATCCTTTTTCTACTGCTATCATGTGTTCTTTCAATTTATTTCTTTATAACCTGACACTGAAAACGTCCTACACGTGCCCATGACTTTGCTCGTGGAGCATCTCTGAATGACTGCCTACTTCCTCTCCCCTTGTCTGCCTCTTGCAATACTAAGAACGAATGCTACCTCCTCTAAAAATATTTTCCTAATGTCTTTGAGAAATAATTAATCCCCTTCCTATTCACATCTCCATCCTTGGTTATTAGGCAGTTGTGAGTTTATCTTTCCCTGATGTGCTTGACTGTATTATTTTTCTCAATGTTGCACCTCTCTCTACAGCCACACATTTTTGCCAGGTGACTCTGCCGTTCCTTCTAGGTGCAGTATATTTGCTCCATCCAGTGATGCTGGACTTGGCCACGTGACTTGCTTTGGCCAGTGAATATGAGGAGATGTGAACATGCCTGGCTAGTCCACTGACCTTACGGTGGGGAGAGGACCATGGAGAGGACAGAACTGGCTGAAACCTGCAGCTTAGAGCCACGCTCAACCAAACCCAGCTGGGGGCAGCCGATGCCCAGGTGAACCAGAGATGTGTAAGCTAACCCACTGAGCTTGGGGCGACTTGTTACACAGCATTACTGTGGCAGCAGATGACAGATATGCCTTCATTACACTAAAAGCTCCTTTGAGACAGTGACTGAATCCTTTTCTTACTTGTGTCCTGGAAGCACCTGACATGGTTTATGGTACACAGTAGCTGCATATGAATGTTCTGAATTGAGAGGAAATACTTAGATGTTCAGAAAACAACGGTTTCTAGCTTGGCATGTGCTTCTGTCTCCCAGGTGGTATACCTACTGCATTTTAAATCGTTCATAAGAAAGGAAGTGTGTACCTCTCTCTTTTGTAATCAGGTAAAATAAACAGTAAATCCGTAAGGACAAGTTTGCATGGAAACCAATTAGGGATTTCCAAACTGCCATCCAAGCTACTGTGGTACTAACCTTCGTCATTAGGTGAACTCTGAGAATTGCCTCCAAAGCCAGCCTTTTCCTTAGGCAGGTGAACAGCTTATTTAGGGCCAGGAGGGGAGGTCAATCTCAGGCTTTCAGCTCTGACGTTTAGTGGCTACGAGGGCTCTGACATCTCTCTCCTACCTGCCTACATTCTATTCACCTTGAAAGAGAAGCAGTACTCTGCGGAGACCTGCACATCGTGAGTTGGGCCCCCTGCGGGATGAACATACTCATAGTGGGGGTCGGGGCAGCTTCCTAAACCTGCATCTTTCGCCAATTCACTTTTCTTCGCGTTCACACCCCCCCCCCCCCCCCCCCCCCCCGCACTGAGGGAGAGAATGGGAATGCATCCAGACTGACCAGCACGGCTGTGCCTTTGGTGACGCGTTCAGGTTTTTCTTTGCCAACAACCATACCCGAGCGTTCCAGAATTCACACTCAGAAACGGAGGGCAGCCTCGCATGTCTGTGAGGAACATTCTGCCCTGGAGGGGACTCAGGAGCAGGCACTAGCTCTCCGTCCTGCCTTTTCTAGAGCTCCACAGCAGGGTAGGAGTAATTCATGATCGCGCGGCACTGCTTACCCACGTGAGGAGACAAGTGGAGGGGGTCTGGGGGATTTCCACCAGGGCAGCCGGGTGTCTCTTTTGCTAGAATGTGCACCAGCATTCTCTGGTTATTTCCTACTTACTCAGATCGAGAACCTTCAGAGACTTTTTGAAAGGATATAATTTGTCATCATTGAATAAATAACACTTGAGAATTAAATAAATAATAAAGAATAATGAGTCATGCTATGGTCTAAATGTTGGTAGCCCTCTCAAGTTCATATGTCAAAATCCTAACCACCGAGGTGAAGGCATGAGGAGGTGGGGCCTTTGGGAAGTGATCGGGTCCCGAGAGTAGAACCCTCACAAATGGGATTAGTGCCCTTATCAAAATCATTGTTATATCTCTTTGTTATATTACCTCCTTTATTATTACAGTGCCCTTCTTTGTCTCTTGTCACAGCCTTTGTTTAAAGTCTATTTTGTCCCATTGGGGCGCCTGGGTGGCTCAGTCGGTTAAGCGTCCGACCTCGGCTCAGGTCATGATCTCGCGGCCTGTGAGTTCGAGCCCTGCGATGGGCTCTGTGCTGACAGCTCAGAGCCTGGAGCCTGCTTCAGATTCTGTGTCTCCCTCTCTCTCTGACCCTCCCCCGTTCATGCACTGTCTCTCTCTGTCTCAAAAATAAATAAAACATTAAAAAAAATAAAGTCTATTTTGTCCCATATAAGTATTGATACTCCCTTTCTCTTCACATTGATTTGCCGTGATAAACATTTCCCCATCCCCTCACTCTCAATCTGCATGTGTCTTTAGGCGTGAAATGAGTCTCTTGTTGGCAGCATATAGATGGTTCTTGTTTTTTTAAATCCATTCTGACACCCTATGTCTTTTGATTGGAGCATTTAGTCCGCTTACATTCAAAGCAATTTTCGATAGATATGTATTTATTGCCATTTTGGTACTTGTTTGTGGTTGTTCTTGTAGTTCCCTGGTTCTTCTCTTGCTCTCTTTCATGGCTTGCTAGCTTTCTATAGTGATGTGCTTGGATTCCTTTATCTTTCTTTTTTGCATATCTATTACTGATTTTTGATTTGTGGTTAGCATTAGGTTTGTCTATAACATCTTCTGCCTATAGCAGTCCGTATTAAGTTGATGGTCACTCAGGTTTGAACCCATTCTTTACTCACCCCCAACATTTTAGGTACATGGTGTTATATTTTACATCGTTTTATTTTGGGAATCTCTTGACTGATTTTTACAGATATACTTTGTTTTACTGTTTTTGTGTGTCCCACTTTTATAACTCTTACTTATGGTCTTTCCTTTTCATTCAGAGAGTCTCCTTTACCCTTTTTTTTCTTTCTTTCTTTCTTTCTTTCTTTCTTTCTTTCTTTCTTTCTTTCTTTCTTTCTTTCTCTTTCTTTCCTTCCTTCCTTCCTTCCTTCCTTCCTTCCTTCCTTCCTTCTTTTTTTTAGAGTTGGTTTAGCAGTCATGAACTCCTTTAGCTTTTACTTCTCTGAGAAATGTTATCTTTCCTTCTGTTCTGAATGACAGCCTTGCTGGATACAGTATTCTCGGCTGCAGATTTTTTTTTCTTTTTAGCACTTTCTATATGTCATGCTACTCCCTTCTGGCTTGCAAAATTTCTCATGAAAAATCCATTGATAGCCTTACGGAGTTTCCCTTGTATGTAACCATCTTCTTTTCTCTTCCTGCTTTTAAAATTCTCTGTCAATAATTTTTGCCATTTTAATTATCTATGTCTTAAGGTGGACATCCTTGAGTTGATTTTGTTAGGGGATTTCTGTGCTCCTGGATCTGGATATCTGTTTCCTTTCCCAGGTTAAAGAAGTTTTCAGCTATTATTTCTTCAAATAAATTTTCTGCCCCCTTTTCTCTTTTTTGTCTTCTTTTGTCTTATAATGTGTATGTTACGCTTGATGGGATTCACTGAGTTCCCTACATCTATTTTCATTTTGTAGATATATTTTTTCTCTCACTTGCTCAGCTTGATTACTTTCCATTACTCTGTTTTCCAGGTCGCTAATTCATTCTTCTTCTTC